AGGAATACAGTTGTTTCAGACGTATACTAGTGGTATGGATGTCGGTCGGACAAGTTCGTTTAGCAGTGCGTGACGAGCTAAAGATTGTAAATTATCACTCAAAACCAACTAACGCGTTGTATCCATATGCATGTATCACATTCTGGGAAGCAGGTACATTTTGTGACTGGTTAATGTCGATCTGAATAAATTTTCAAGTCTCAAGGTTCGCCTCTTTAACTTAAGATGACAGCCATGAGACCACTAGGTTTGAACCAGGAGACTATAAGGTTAACGTTTCCTCAAGGCGGTGGACTCTACGTGCCTATTGGCACAGAAGTGAACTCAGGCTGTGAAAAGAGACGGTCCCGCCCTCTAGCCTCGCCAAGGCAAGACCCAATACTCCAACTACACAACTACAGTAACTACGCGTAGTTAGAAAGCCTTTTGTATGATATACAATTCCTCAAGGCGGTGGACTCTAGGTGCCTATTGGCACAGAAGCAATCTCAGACCGTAAAAAAGACGATATCACCAGCTAGCCTCGCCAACGCAAGGCGTGATACGCCAACTACACAACTACAGCAACTACGCGTAGTATGAAAGCCTTTCCTATAATATTACCTTTCCTCAAGACTGTTGACTCTGAGTGCCTATCGACAGGAAAGCGGTCAAACCGTGAAAAAAGACGGCCCCACCCGCTAACATCGCCAACTACAGCAACTACGCGTAGTTAGGACTCTAGGGGCCTTTTTATAATCGCCACAACAGTTAACTCAGGCCGTAAAAAGAGACGGTCCCGCCCGCTAGCCTGCCGTCAAAAGAGACGGTCCCGCCCACTCAGGCCGTGAAAAGAGACGGTCCCGCCCGCTAGCCTGCCGTGAAAAGAGACGGTCCCGCCCACTCAGGCCGTGAAAAGAGATGGTCCTGCCCGCTAGCCTTGTTAAGTTAAGGCGTAATACGCCAACTACATAACTACAGAAACTACGCGTAGTTAGACTGTCTTCCTTATAATATACCTTTCCTCAAGCGGTGGACTCAGACCGTCTAAAAAGACGATATCACCCGCTAGCCTCGCCAAACCATGGCGTATAATGCCAACTACACAACTACAGCAACTACACGTACTTAGGAAGCCTTTATAATATAGTTTTCCTCAAGGCGGTCGATTCTAAGTGTCTATAGGCAAAGACATGAAGTCAGGCCGTGAAACTGACGGTCCCGCCTGCTACTGAAGTAGTAGCCTCACCAAGGCAAGGCCTAAAACCCTAACTACACAACTACAGCATCGGGTAAATGTTAACATAAGCTTTTCTTTCTTACTATATTTCCCGCCATTTTCCTTTGTCTATGATGTCATTTTACGTCATTTAGACGTTGTTTGCGGTTGCTTAAGACATAAAAAGATCCAAGAAGATATCAATATTCAATCGGACACTCCATCTTTAAACGTTTTGCCCACAGGTATCCCTCTATTGCCATTATGAAACCGTATAAAAGTGCTCATAATAAATTTCAGCATTGATTCTTTAGAGTTAGACATTATCATATAAACCAAAATGTACATTTTTGGATAGAAAAACACAAAATATCAATTTTTAATTCAGAAAAAGAAGTCATCAGCATTTAATAGGCAGAGATTCGTGGCAGTTGTTAACTTACATGTTTGTACCGAATTTCAGCAAAAGTGCTTCATTTATCATGGCACAGGTGTCAGAAATCTACATTTTTAGCTAAAAACACCCAAATAATGCGAAAAAATTGCAAACAAAATGAGCTGCCCTCATATCTCACTCAGATACTTCACTCAACATCGTCAGGAACAAGCATTCCCCCACAGGTATCCCTCTATTACCATTATAAAACCGTATAAAAGTATTATCCTCTGCGTTGCTAGGGAGATGTATTTTCCTTAGCAACGGTTACCATGGAAACATGATATAAATTTCTGAGGCCCTGAAAATGAACAATTTTCCACCGATAAAAGTTTTCTTCACGTTTTACTTATGATATGCACTACATTTTACTGGGAAAGCAGCCCAGTGCCTCCTTAGCAACGGCCCTAGCAACGGTTTCCCCACAGAAGGCCTGTGGGAATAGAACTTTTAGATACTCATATCTCCAGATTGGATTGATGGATTTTACGATTTAAAGCTTAAAATGTAGGGAACAGTGTAACAAATCAGATAAATTCATGAACCAGGCTCGAAAATGCAATCTGTATATTTGACAGGTTTTGAAAAGTAAACATTCCATTTTTTTACCAATTTTTACCGAAAAATCGAATTTCAAAACCTCATTACTTCTCTTAGAAATGACATATCGGAACAAAATTGACATTTTTGTAATCCTTTGTTCCTGTTTGATCTGGCCACCAAGTAACGTTGGAAAATATCCATATTTGATTATATGACACTCCCCTTTGCATTATAAGTAGGAAAGGAAATGGTCCCCATGGGGTCAAAGTTCAAGGTCAGATAACAAGGTCAAAGCTGGGCACTCAACATGGTTATCATACATTTTCAAAAAGCTTGTGGGGAGGACTTTCACATGAAGGCATTCGCGTTTTGTCCCTTGATTTGGTAACAAAATCTTGTCTGGCCCATGGACTACATCTGCTTGTTCACTGCTTCAGAAAGGTCTTCTGTCATTCCGACTTGGGTGATGATATCAGTGTCTCTGCTTTCCTGTTCTTTGTTGTATGCTATCAGCTTCTAGCAGCATGTGATATGGTACAGATAATGATTGGTGTATCTTGTGCAAATGAAGAAAATGGTATGCTGTGTGCACTGTAATTATTTTGATTACATCATCATCATCATTGAAATATATATTTATGGTCATTTTCATTTTTATCAAAATTTTTCATCCCCTCTGCCAGTGCTTTAAGCCCATGGCAGGAGCAGCAAAGAAGATTGTCCAGATAAATGGCTTTTCTGACAAAATCAAGGTCATCGCTAAACGCTCAACTGAGATGACAGCTGGTCCAGGTATGTTTTATGGACATTACCATAGGTTTAATATCTACTTTTAATAGATGTAAAAACTATTTGATTCAGTCAGCCTTCATCAGTCAAGACACTGCTTTTTGCACTTAGGCCACACCAATTTAATTTCTTGGTTAACAGATTTGCCCGCTTCATTTTTTTCTGACTTGCAAAAAAAAAAAAAAATTCAGACTGCAAAATGCTCATATTTTGCCCTGAACAGTCATTTTCTTCCTAGTTGTTACAGTTACATTGTATTCCATCTTTCAATGCAATGGCATCATTAAAAGTTCAAAATTCATTGTTTAAACTTTGAACCAGCCTGGTGTGTTGACCTCATGGCTCCTATATACAATTTTGGGCTACAATAGGATACCTAGGCCTGTTTTTATTTTTATTTTTTCGCCCGCCTGCTCCATTATTTTTCTACAAAAATCCGTTAACCAAGAAATTAAATTGGTGTGGCCTTATTGCTATTATTCAACAATATAGAAAAAGTCTTATGCCTCTGCATGTATTCCCTTAAATTTTGATGATCTAGCTCTGAATGTAGTGCTCTGTTCTGTTTATTTCTTGTACACGTGTGTAGGTGGTGACATGGAGGAAAGAGCAAACATTTTAGTGGCAGAACTTCTGGATACAGAGCTGATTGGGGAAGGATGTCTGTACACGTACCAACATGCACTGGAACATTTAGTCACTGTAAGTTTGGCTCTGAAACTCTATTGTACAAAACTTACATTATTTTTTTACATGCCAAGAATCCATCCTATTCCAACTCAGGTTCACTGCAACAGTTGCTTCTCATTTAAACATTCATTGTTGTTATTATGTTTACTGAAGGAAAACATTGTTTTTGTGCTGTTTCTTCTTCCGTTCCAAACACTGACTTGTGACCTGGTCAATGACCTGAACCAGACTGTCTGTTACCATGGTAACTGGTGTTGGGTTACATAATGTTGCAATATTATAGTAGGAAGGATTTAGACTCCTGTCACCACATATATGGATGCGTTTGAGTAAGCAGGCCATATGCGAACTTCAAGGTAAACATTATGCATTTGCTAAATGCAAATGTTACCTTTCTAGTTTGATTATTTATTTATACTGATTCTCACATATATGAGTTGTGAATGGCATGGTAGAACAGGAGTTATGTCCTGCATTATTTCAGGTATGAAATATGATGTTTTGTCTGTTGTTGTGCCCCCCTCCCCCACAGCCAGACTGTATCTTCGTGCCCCATGCTGCTACCGTCTATGCACAGGTGGTGGAGTCAGACTTCATGTGGAACTGGCACAGGATTCAGGAGCTACCACAGCCAGGTTTGTTTATTTGTTTGTTTGTTAATATATTTAGCCAGGAAATACATGTCGCCTATTGGCGTTTATCAAAGATTCCTGGGGGGATAACCCCAACAAAACTACATGACATTATAATTATAACAAAAGATTAAAGATGAACTAACAAAGGTCAACTAAAAGTAGATAAACTTATCGTGAACAAGACGAAGTCGTAACTAACTCATCAACAATCAAATGAAATAAGGTAACATAGAAGTAATAATAATCGTTCAGATATCAAATCATAATGGTAGATAGTCAAAAGGTATGTCAACTTAAAGTGGAGTTTGCATATCAATGGAAAGAAATACAAAGGTAAGGGGGGGATAAGATTGTAACTAGTGCTGCATACCGGTTCACTGGACTTGGATCCGGACTTGTAAGAATGTTTAGGTTCAAGTCCAAAAAAACCTAAAAGTCAAGAACCGAGTCTGGACTTATTACCATAAAAGACCATTTCACATACCCCTTTTCTTTCCAAACCACCTAAAACCTTCCGTAGATTGCAAAATCTTTGCTGCAAAATGAAGAAAACTTTTCCATCGGGCATCGTCAAGTACCGGCCTGCATGTTATGTGGCCAAAGTTTCACCCAGACAACATTGCAAGGTTGCCAACATGCAATTTTGTATAATATTATTGCCATGGGTTTAGGTCCGGACTTACAAGTCCAGAACTGAACCTAAACCTCTAGACTTGAATACAGACCTGAACCTAAATGTGGGTTTAGGTATGCAGCACTAATTGTAACAATTAATATTCTTAGTTCTCCATTAAGTTCTGTGGCTCTTGTGCAGAACAGAGCTATATAATTATATATATATTATATATATATATTATATTACAGTAGGGGGCTGGTACACTCAAAATGCTGTATGTTCAAATGCATTCCCTCCATAAAATCTTGTGTGGTCTAACATTAATTTGTTCCCCCCCCCTTTTTTTAGGTTGTGAGAAAGCTTTGGTGCCCTCCGCAGACATGGAGGCCTGCATGGGGGCTGCAGCAGTCCATGATATACAGCTCAGCCAAGTCAAGCAGGAGCAGTTCAAGCCCCTTACAGAGCCCATCAAAGTCTTCAGGTGCAGTTTACTAGGACATAAACAGTCTTTTCTTTGAACTTTTTTTGAACTTAGATTAGTACCAAGTATTATAACTAAGATTAATGGATTTTTCTAGAAAAATAATGGAGCGGGCGGGCGAAAAAAAATAAAAATAAAAACAGGTCTAGGCATCCTATTATGGATCAAAATGGTACGATAGGAGCCATGAAGTCAACACACCAGGCTGGTTCAAAATTTAAACAATGAATTTTGAACTTTTAATGATGCCATTGCATTGAAAGATGAAATAACTGTAACAACTAGGATGAAAAGGACTGTTTTGAACTGTTCAGGGCAAAATATGAGCATTTTGCAGTTGATTCTGAATTTTTGTTTTTATTTGCAAATCAGAAAAAAATGAAGCGGGCGAATCTGTTAACCAAGAAATTAAATTGGTGTGGCCTAAGCGCAAAATGAGTGATCACTCTAGAATTTGTATTTTATTGTATTGTACATATGTGTTTTTTTTTCCCCTGTATTAAGGTTTGAGTTTGACCAAAAGATGGAATCTCTGGACCGCAGGGTGGATCTGAATGTGCCAGTGACAGACAGTGGTCAGGCACAGGTGGTCCTGATGTGGTGGGACATAGAGATGGACCCAGACAGCTCAGTCCTCCTGTCTGTAGCACCGTCCTGGGCACATCCTACACCTCATAACATGCAGGTATGGAGAGATGTGGACTTGTTTATTTGTTTATTTATTATTTGCACATATATAAAAAAATTCATAATCAAATAATAACAGTGAGAGAATATGCGGGGTAGGCCAGAAACCTAGGTGGTTTTTCAAAGGGCCTACCCCAAACAAAGGTAACTTATGACAAAACATATTAGAATTAAACATCAAAATTAGACAATGAAATAATTGATTAATTAAACAAAATCAAGACACAGAAATAATAACTGAAGTGTGTAAACTCGTTTTTACATCTACGAAAAGAAATTAAACAAAAGTCTTATACATGTACATGTAATTCAGTTCGCTGTTACAGAATAAACTAATTAGATAATTAACATAAAAATTAACGATTAAAACAAAAAAAACAAGGAAAACAAACAAATCAGATTTACTTGTCATTCAAAGAGTAATACTTCTTGATAATCGAGCACGAGATAGAACTCTGGAGGAGTACTGTAGGATCTAAAGTAACCTGGCAAACTAGAAAGGTAACATTTGCAAGGCAAATGCATAATGTTTACCTTCGCATATGGTTTGCTCTGTTAATTCGTACTCAAACACATTCATATATATGGTCAAACATGAGTCTAAATCCCTCCTGCTATTAAATTGCAACATGATGTAACCCGACACTAGTTACCATGGTAACAGACACAACATTGGTTCAGGTCAGAGGTCACTGACTGTTTGGAGAAGAAAAGGAAGAAACTGAGCAAAAACAATATGTTTTCCTTCGGTATTAAAACATAATAAATAAATATCCATTATCTGTTAACTGTTATTTGGTGATGATTCTCAGGCTGTGTTAACTCGATAGTGTCTTATTGTGTGACAGTTTTGTTTATTTGTTTGTTTATTTTTGTTGTCCAGTGGCGGGACCACTGGATGCAGGCCGTGTATTTTAACCACCAGTCCATCCCTGTGGAGAAAGGTACAAATTATTTATTTGACACCATCTACATCCTTCTAGATCTCTGCAATCTGGAGTATTGCTCGCATCTCTGGGCTGGTGCCCCAAAAGATTTCCTTGTATATTTTAGACCGCATTCAAAGGAGAATCTGTGTTGCCATCGGCCATTCTCTGGCCGCAAAGCTGGATTCCCTCTCACACAGACGCAATGTTGCATCCCTATCCCTCTTTTACAGATACTTTCACGGTCGATGTTCAGGAGAACTTGCACTTCTTGTTCCGCCGCTCAGAACCTTTCAGCGTGCCACTAGGTTCTCTTCCAGTTCTCATCAATACACCGTTAACATACCTGTCTCCAAGTCATTTTACAACAACAGCTTCTTTCCCTGGACTGCGAAATTATGGAACTCTCTTCCAAACAGTTGCTTTCCGTCCGACTACAATCCACAAAGCTTCAAAACAAAGGTCCACCGCCATCTCCTGACATAACTACATTATACTCACTTTTGAGTACCCCTTGCATTGAGCGACACCATTAAAAAAAATCTGTACAGTGTAATGACTACATGTATCTTGTCAAAGGTTATGACACAGTCATAAGTTTTCTGCTGTTCCTCTCCAGGTCAGCAGGTGGCGCTGCATGGCAGACATGATGAGTACAGTCTGTGGTTCCAGGTGCAGCAACAGGGGTCAACGAACTCTACAGGGTCGGCATCATATCTGCGTTTTTTTTCTTGAAAAGTCTGGATGTCCTTAGATTATGAAACTGTGCTTTTAAAGAAAATCCAGTCATGTCTTTTGTAGCAAGATCCCAACTAACCAGGGACAATTTTGACAATCTTTCCTTATACTAACTGAAGTCCTGCGGCACCCAACAATTGTTGGGTTGCACATACAGTGCCATTCATATAGCACCCTGTATAGGTACGATTTGGGGGTATTTCTCATGCAATGCATCACATGGCTGCAAAACGCAACAAAAGTGGAAGTACATGTAACTATGCCACCGCAGGGCAAAAAAGTCAGGGGTGTATGACCTGCTTTTGTATGATTTTGTTGGATTGAATACAACTGTAAAGATATGAAATTATTGAAAAATCTTTTGTAAAAAAATGCCAGCAGAACAAAGGCTAAGTTCCAGCTTTGCCCACAAAGCTACATGTACAACAATAATCACAACCATAATCACATTTAACAATCAGAAACACAACCAAAAAACTTTTTCATTGCCACATTTGCTGCGCATGTAACTCTAGGACAGAGGTCAGCCTGGATAGACCTGTGTGTCGCTGTGGAGGTCACATGGTGTGGAGTCGGCCGCGGCTGGGCATGCTGAACGACAGGGCCAGGTGGCACACATATGCAGCTGCCCTGAAACAGGTGCTGGCACCCGGGCACACCTGTGTGAGTGTGAGCGATGCATCATGGGTACCACTCATAGTAGCACAACTTGGAGCACAGGAGGTAGGTTTTTATGTTGTTTGTTCAAAGCTTGAACCAAATCACAGATGCCTCCGCGCCAGAGGTGTTGCCAAAAATATCACAATTATTGTTTTACCCAGTCTTTGTTAGGTATTGTAGACACTGTCTCTTTAGTACCTAAATGAGAAAACATCTTTTTCTTTCAGGTTTTTACACTAGAAAGTTCTGACCTTGGCTCAAGAGTTACACACAAGGTACGTCATGATCTTAGAGACAATATTGCATTCTATAATAATTTATTACAAGTATGATAATTACTGTTTAGGCATCATGGTTTTTGTACTTAGTTCTTTTTGAACAAGTGATTTTTATTGTTTTCTTCCTATTTTCTCCCAGTTGATAGAAGCCAACAGTCTGCAGGACAGAGTTCATGTGGTTCAGGGTACAGAGGAGCAGTTACAAGCTGCACTGAAAGACAAGAAAGTGAGTATCAAGTAAGTTAAATATGAGCAGTACACTGTACAGCACAAAAAGTACTTTACAACAGAACTGATATGAAGGCCTTTCCCAGAGGCATTGCCAAATGCAACAAGAAGTAACTACTAGTACTGAGTACTAGCAGTGTTCTCGCCAGGCCTTTTGAGCATAGGGGCCCCCTATGCTGTGATTTGGACCCCTCATGCTATGATTTGGACCCCTATGCTGTTTTTCAATCAGCATATATAGGGGTGTGTTTTTTTTTAAGAAAATTGATAAAGCTTGCTAAAAAATTAAAATATTACTTTAGAATTAAGCTTTAGCAAAGGGAAAACCTTAACTTCACAAAATCTGTCCATCAAAAAGTGGGAAATAGTGTCTCAGGGGGTTATGAGTATCATTTTTTTTCGGGTCAATGCGCTACTTGCGCCGCGAAAGTTGCCCTTCTGTACCTGACCCCTATGCTGTGAAAAAATCCTGGTGAGAATACTGACTAGTACAAAAAAATGTATGTCGTGTACAATGTCATGTAATGTCATAATGTCATCAAGTCTATTCTTTATAATAACTGTTATAAGGTGGAGCCTGTTCATGATTGAAATATAGCTTTATCTCTAGAAATATCAGGGTGATAACATTGTTTTATACAGGTGCCTCTTTTGGCTTCCAATACACCTTACTCAACTCTTAGATATGTAGAATCTGATATGAAATGAAAAGAAACCTACAGTGGGCCTCACTGGAAGACAGAAGAAAGATGTCCAGACTATGCAGGATGTACAAAATGACTAATAAACTGGTTGATGTACCAACTACTAAGTACCTAATACCAGCCCAGAAGAGAACAGGAAATAGCCATGCCTTCAAGTACCAGAGTTATCAACCAAGGATTGAGGTGTTCAAGAATTCATTCTTTCCTAGAACTATCGCAGAGTGGAACTCACTGTCACCAAGTACAGTAGGGGCATTGTCAATAGATAGCTTTAAACAATGTCTAGAGTTAGAAGTTCAAGGGTTAGGTGTAACAAGTCGATCGGTGTAATATAGCCAGCTGCCGCCGTGCCGCATGCCTGCGATGCTCGTGTGTTACGCCGAAAGGCGGCTATACCGGCTATACAGATACAGATGAATTTTTCTGCTCTTAGATGTGTAAATTGTAAATATTCAGAGTAGAAAACTCTACTGCCATTTGGCTAAAATCATGTACCACTTGATTTTGTGCTGTGCCCAGGTTGCCATGGTGATAGCGGAGCCGTACTACACGTCCAGCCTCCTGCCGTGGCACAGCCTGTACTTCTGGTACGTCTGCACGCGACTCCGCACACAGCTGCCAGAGGGCGGCGCCGTGATGCCTGCAGGGGCGTCGCTGGTTGCCGTAGCAATGGAGTTTGAGAACCTGTGGCGGCTGCGGGCTCCCGTGGGGAGGGTGGAGGGGTTTGACATCAGCGTCATGGACCAGATGGTCAAGGTCAGTCTCAAGGTCAAGGGTACTGTTGGTCTTCAAGGTCACATAACGAGATGTACAACAATGTAGTATTGGCTTGTCTATTTATGTTTCTGTGTATTTCTGTGATCCTTTATATATACCATGCGGCATTGTCATACATTTTTGCACAGTGTCCAGATCTGGAAGGGTTACAAAGTACTAGTAGTACTAGAAAGGTAACATATGCAAAGCAAATGCATAATGTTTGCCTTCGCATATGGTTTGCTCCTCTTACTCAAATACATGTACATTCATATAACTTTATATGCATGGTCAGACAGGAGTCTACATCCCTCCTATAAAATTGCAACATTATGTAACACAACACCAGTTACATGTACATGTACCATGGTGACAGACATCAACAAATCAGGTCATTGACCAGGTCAGAGGTTAGTGTTTGGAACAGAAGAAGAAATGTAGTAAAAACAATATGTTTTCCATCGGTAAACATAATAATAGGGTAAATGGTGAGGTCTGCAATCTCTGATTGGCTTGTTTCAGTCTGTATGAAATCCCAGGGCCTTGTTGAACAAATTCACATATCCACTATAATTGTACTGATTTTTAGTACATTTACTGTGTTTAGTGTACGCCATCTCTGATTGCCTTGATTTAGCATACTAATTGAAAGAAATACCCAGGGCATTCTGTGTTAAATGTATCCCTCTGGACCTACAATGTAATGTTTGTCTCCCCTCCCCCAGGACCATTCTAACCAGACAGACGAGCGTGTGGAGCCCCACCCCCTGTGGGAGTACCCCGGGGTGGGGATCAGCGACCCTGTCACGCTGATGAACTTCGACCTCACGCGGCCCGTTCCCGCAGAAAACATGGTGGTCACCGGAGAAATCCCCTTCACTTGGTATGACTGGACACTGATTGAGTAATTCCTGCCCCTTCATAGTTACTACATGTATTACCAAATAGATTTAATGTGTGGATGTCAATGGACCTATACCATTATTACGTCACAGTTTGTTTACCTGTCCTAAAGAACATTCTAGAATAAAGATCATTTCAAAGTTTTCTAAGTAAGGTATGTCTGATTTTTTGCTGCGTCTAGTTGTGTTGACACAGCATTACATGCCGCATGGGTGATTTAGTTGTGACATTAGACGAAAGTAGTACTGTATTAAAAGCCTTATATTAGGCTAACGCTACACAAACACAGACCGCGCTACGCACCCCTGTACAATATAAACGTCGATTGACCGACATTCATTGCGGTAAACAAACTGTGACGTAATAATGGTATAGGTCCATTGACATCTATATGTTGTCACTAGTGTCACAATTACTTTATGTTATATATATACATTTGGGACCACACTGTTAGCATTAACACCTACTAGTACCTTCAGTACACAGTTAACCAGTAACACCTAAATGTATCTTCAGTGCACAGTGAACAAGTCCTGATGAGAACAGTCATCAAATCATCAGCTCTGGCAACTGCTTGTTGCTCTTTGCTGGTCTAGCCTCCCTCTATGTTTGTGTCACTAGCTATAGTGTTGACACAGTACTAGTTGTAGCACCCAATTGAACCTACCTCCACATAACCTGCCCTACATGTACCCACTCCCAGTTTTTGCACAATATATGTAGCACCTAACATAACCTCCATTCCTATTTGCATCCCCAGTTCTGGCTCCTGTAATGCGGTGGCCCTCTGGATGAACTATGACCTCCTCGGCGACGGCCGCTACACCATCAGTACCGGACCCCATACCCCTTACACGAGCGGCCGCCCCCCTCAGTGGGACCCCCACATCAGGCAGGGGGTGTACTTCATGGACCAACCAGTACAGGTCACACCAGACTCCAGACTCACTTATCGTGTAACCTTCTCACCTAAAGATGGGCAGATGGACTTCCAGTTTGACATTAAGAATTCTTAGGGAAAAAATTCATTTTAAGTCAAACAGTTGAGGGCCAACTGGACCTACTGTGTACAACTGATCAGTGAAACAAGGGAATGTACAACAAGACTGGCAATGAAAACATACATTGCCATGGCGATGGTGGTTGCTGTTAGGGTTATTGTTTGCATGGCACTGCCATGATTTAATGATTTTGAGGAAGACTTGGTATCTAGACAGATACAGTGCACTCCTCCCCTGAGTGTATAGTGAAGGAGCCCCGGGGTCACAGAAAGTAGGGCCATCCGGGCAAGACAGGTCTTCCCAAGGGTTTCCAGGAATGTGGGCATAGATGTGGGTCAGAGACATGCCTGTGGACATTCCATTCCTGTGGACAAAATGCCTGTACCATTCCTAGAATTCTTGCAAACTGCACACAATACTGTACCATTAGGCTCCTCCCTGAGACGTCGCCAAAAAAGAAATACATGTATCAGGGAGAACAAAAAGATGAAAACTGTTGTACAGTCTACCAAGAGGGCTTTTGAATCAATTTATCAGGATAAACTTGTTTTATTTATGTGTATGTTGAAATCAAGGTACCAAAAATGTTAATAATCAATGATAAGCTTTCATAATTTTACTGGTCAATTTTGTAGATTTGAATTTTTGGATGAAATTCTAAGGTCACTATATCTTAAGCCCCACATTTCAACTTGTAAGTGGACAACCATAGAGTAAAGCTGTAATAAAAATTATTTCTTCTGCATTACATCTTTTTGTATCTTTGCCTTCGACTGAAGGCTATGCCTTCGGAGAAGGTTATGAAATCGGGTTTGCACTGTTTGGCAGATTAGGCACGATAACTCTTGAAGGCAAGGTCCGAGGTTCACGATTTTTGGCAGGCAGGTTGATTTAGGGGTGGCCATTGTCAAGGCTAAAAATGGGCTTCGTGGGGGGTTCCTAAGTCACTGTAGTTGACCTTGGTTTTTGGTGTTTTTTCCTTGTCATCAAGATATCTCGAGAATCCTTAAATGGATGTTCATTATTTTTAGTGGGCAAGTGACCGTTGAAAATGCCGAGGTCAAGTTCAAAGATGGGCCCCGTGGGGGTTTCTATGTCACTGCAGTTGACCTTTGTTTTTTGTGTTTTTTCTTGTCATCAAGATAACTCGAGAATCTTTAAATGGATGTTCATGTTTTTTAGTTGGCAAGTTACCATTGACAATACCAAGGTCAAGTTCGGATATGGGCTTCGTGGGGGGTCCCCACGTCATTGAATTAGAAAGTACTGCAGCGAAACTTCTGGTTTTTAAATCTCGTGATATGGACGTGCTAGGGTCATGATTTTTAAATGGTAGGTAGCTCTCGTGCTCAGAAAGAAGTGCCGTAAGTTTGGGCCCCGTAGCAGCTTGTTTGGGAAATGCAGAGGCATTTGTTTGAAAATGTTTGAAGTAGGATAGCTCAAGAAACGGTTGACGAATTGTTGTTATTTTTGATATCTCGGTAGCTTAAGTGATGCTTGACCTAATTAGATGACGATTATGCA